GCAAAGAGAAGGCAAAGTAGCCCATAAAAGTCCAAAGTAGTTTAAAAAAAGGCGGGGGGGGGGAACTTTCTTTTCAAAAAAAAAGAAAAAGAAAAATTTTTTCTAATTTCTGCTGTTGTAAGATATTTACAAAACTATTCATTGCACCGGCAAAAACAATCATAATCGTTAATGATTGTCAATACCTTACCCAGGACACTCAATTTAGCACACGTATCATGAATGGTGGACCTAACTTGGCTGTGTTGTACACAAAATGGTCTCTAATGATTTCAGTGCCTTCTCCCTGTCCCAACCCCTCACCGCCTGACTACATTTAGTGCTTCAAAGAGAGAATTTTGCAGTCATGCAAGATATTCTTTTTAGTAAAGGCTTTTTTAAACCTGTTTTAATAAACAGATCTATTGCTTGTTTACTGAAGAAATTATGGGTGTATTTTTACCAGTGACAGCATTTTCCAGTTCTCCCTTCCTCTCTCCAAAATAGCTGAAAGGCGTAGAAAGCTGATCAAATGAAAATAAAAACTCCTGCGATGCAGCTATTGCACTGGAAAATTACCATACTTAGAGATGCAAGAAAAGAAGCAATTAAGAAGAGAAGGTTCAGATGTAAAACAACAGTCACACTCCAGTCTATTTATCACAACACAAACCTCAGCATCTTGATTAAACCTCTTCAACCTCACTGACAGAGGTCATGGTCAATCAGGGTTAAGCAAAACAAGAAATACAAAGCTGGAACTCAACTACCGAATTCCCTTCTCTTTCCAAAAAGCCTACAGTGACACATAGGAGAAAAACCAAAAAGAAATCAAATTATGCCTACACTTGGCATTCTTTGTATGTTCCGGTTCATGTTCTGAAAGCAAGCAAGCAGCTGGACGCCTAACTTTTGAAAAGAATCATGATCATTCTTTAATATGAACCTAAACTAACTTCGGCTGTTTAGCTTCCCACACTAGCCCAGGCAGATTAAGAATTAGGCAAGCCAGACTCGGGGACGGTATTAGGAGATCTCCGAGAACAGCCAGCGTCTCCTCCGGGCAGGAGGTCTCCCCTCTCCCACCAACCCACTGCAGGGATTCACTGGGCATACGATGCACACAGGCTCCTCTCTGCTCTCCCCGGTCAAGCTGGGGAACAAACACCCTTGCCAGAGTTGCAGCTTTACTTACAATTAGTCTTTATTCTTCTACTTCAGGAAGCGCTACGTCTGATGAGAACAAATACCTCATAGCTTCTGTTTATCTTTGGACTTGCATATAGGATGGAAGTAGCCCAGTTATAGAATAAAAGTCATGCTTGAAACTCCAGTTGATGGATTGGACAATCACATGACTGCACTATAATCACCTTTTTTCTTCTCTTAATGCTTGCTAGCCTTCCTTTTCTTCTCAAGCTTAAAATTTGATTGTTAATAATACAATGTAGGAGGCTTTGCCATCTGTCCCATTTATTTTGTAAAGCACCTTTGACTATTACTAAAGTAAATATTTAACTAAAAAGAGGTCATTACTAAATTAAATACTACTCATCTTAAAACAATCTCAGCTCCACACCTAGTCTTGTGGCAGTTTTCTTTAACCTCTTGCTGCTGCAATTAACTGACAGCATGAAAATTTCCTCACATTCAGACCTCAAGTTCCTAGCCCTTATAGTTGTGGGGGAGGAGAGGAAGAGAGCTTGAAAATGTGCTTTGAGTGGACGTTGAAATGTAAAGGACCAGGGATAAAGGCAACATAAAAACCCTGTAAAAAGATTTTTTTTTTTTAAATCATGTGATTTTTAAGACATATTTACTATTTTGTAGGACTGGATTTGTGATTGCCTATCCTGCGATATTGCTTCCTTTTGATCAGGATGTAGTATATATCTTTTGGAACAGCTACGGAGCAGGATGATGAGTAGAAGTGAGTTTCAATGTTACGGTTCTTCTAAGTTAAGCTGCCAAAACATGGGCACAGCATGACACACGTACACAAATTTCTTCTGCTAAATCTATACACAGTCTGTCATTAATTTTCCCAGTTCTTGCTAACTATCCTAAGTATGTGCAGCATAGTTCATTAACTCTCTTCTTTTTCAGGAAGAAAATGCTGTATCAGACAATACAATAGCACTGCATTAGAGTCTTAACTATATTAAAGCGATCAATCCATTCCAGTGCCTTCCCCTCGTATACTTTTTAATGAAGTTTTTCATCATTTCCAGTGCTGCTATGCTACTTTCAACATTCGTTTATTAAGAAACAGAAGTCCTCAGAAATATTAAAATAAAATGAGGAAGGTAGATATATTGGATTATTCTAGTGAAGTGGCCCTGAATTAGAACTATGTCTCTAAGATTCTGGCAACAGTGATTTGCTTGGGAAGTGATGATTTAACAGCTTCTTAAACGGAAAAGATTTCTTTACAACCTGCCCTTACGCCACACACAGATAACGTAGCTGTTCCTGTTCTTGAAGTTCCGCACAAACCATGGCACCAAAAAACTAAGGTTTTACTTTGTCAAAATGGCATCAGGGACTTCCACCATCACACAACACGTAGCTTGGACATCACGATGCGATGTCAAAGATACAACATGTCTTTACCAACAGTTAAAGACGACTTCTACATTTGAAGATAAGTCATTTCTAGGCTTTCTGCCCTAATATGTGTAAATGATGAAAGGACAAGGGGGAAAGAGATGGATATAG